TCGTGGAACGGCACCATGAGAGAGCAGACGGAGAACTGCCCGTTCCACTACTGGGCCTCCGCCGACATCGCCGCCGACTGTGGGTTCCAGCACAGGGGAATGGCTGGAGACAAATGTCGCTAATACAAAGGCCGTATTCCCACGACTCTGAGCAACAGGGAGATGACGAGCAGTACCGATGACAGGAGGCTGCGACAGGCCCACATTTGCCGAGTATCGAATCGATGCTCGAGGCAGGTGATGGGCCAGGAAAGGGGAGGGGGGAGGGGGGGTAAATGGGGCGTGGGCCCAACACGGCAGCTCGACAAAGCTGGCGTCAGCAGCTGTCAAAACAAGGCGGTTAGGGTGGTGTTTGGTGCCCAAGGGGCACACCACTCGGAGATTTCCTTTGGTCATCGGTTCTGGAAGCCCAGAGGAGAAGACGGGTGAGATGTGATGGATGAACCGACATGGTGGGAATGAAGTGGTGTGGTGAAGTCGTAAGGCGACACTGAAGATTGAACTCTGCTTCACAGTAGAGTACAGAGATGTTGATACATGCTGGAAAGCTGTGAGGGGTTTCATAGTAACATGGAGTACGGCAAGGGATCGTGTGTGGTATTGCCTGGTATTGCGGTGTACAGCGGTTCAAATTGCAGTGCTGCTAGAGATGTGCAATGCATCCACCAAAAGCTCGTGGCCAGGTACAAAGAGATGATGACACATACGTGCACTGGTTGGTGCATCGGATTAACGTAAGACCGATTTGCAGCTGGTCCCTTGACTTGGCAGTGGCACAAATGACCAATTACCGGAGCCTCCCATCTCAGCCTTGCAGCGGCAGTGGCCAAGGCTTATCGTTATCGCGACTTGAGCTTGCTCCGTGACGTGCAACTTGTCCTCTTTGCCTTTCCCATTTGGCCAGGTAAGCTTCGTGCCAATTGAGGGGCCACGATTCAATTCTTAGGTCATTTTTAGACGACGTTTCCACGACATTGCACCATACGTCGTCTTGGCTGCTGTCTTTATCTTCAGGGCTTTCTCCCTTCCGCCCTTTCCTCCTCTCTGCATTGCTGTTCAATCAGCGCTCAGCACTCTGTTCTTTCAAGCGGCGTGCGCATCTCATCATCTCATTTTCTTGATCCCGCGATACCCTCTTGCATTTCGTCCTTCGACTTGCGCACATCTGCGCGAACCCACACCGCCACCATGGCTTCCCTTCGGTTCTCCCCCTTGACGTTGGTCTTGGGTAGTATCTTCTTCTTCACCTCACAAGTCTTTGCCGTCTCGGCCGTCCTCGGCGTTGACCTGGGAACCGAGTACATCAAGGCAGCTCTGGTGAAGCCAGGCATCCCCCTCGAGATTGTTCTCACAAAGGACTCGCGCAGGAAAGAAATCTCGGCTGTTACGTTCAAGCCCCCTCAGGGCGGCCCCAAGGCTGGCGTTTTCCCCGAGCGACTTTATGGCTCCGATGCCATGGCCCTGTCTGCCCGATTCCCTGCCGACGTCTATCCCAACCTCAAGACCCTTCTTGGCCTGCCCATCGGCGACTCGATCGTTCAAGAATATGCCGCCCGCCACCCGGGCCTGCAGATTGAAGAGAACAAGATCCGTGGCACGGCCGCCTTCAAGAGCAAGGCTTTCTCCGCCGAGGAGGAGGCTTGGATGGTCGAGGAGCTTTTGGCCATGGAACTCCAGAGCATCCAGAAGAACGCCGAGGCCACAGCCGGCCCCGACACATCTGTTCGCTCCATCGTGGTCACAGTCCCCCCCTTCTTCAGCCTTGAGGAGAAGCGCGCTGTTGAGCTCGCCGCCGACCTGGCCGGCCTCAAGATCTTGAGCCTCATTAGCGACGGCATGGCTGTCGGCCTCAACTACGCCACCACTCGCCAGTTCCCCAACGTGAACAATGGCGAGAAGCCCGAGTACCACATGGTGTTCGACATGGGTGCCGGCTCCACCAAGGCCTCAGTCTTGAGGTTCCAGAGCCGTACTGTCAAGGACGTCGGCAAGTTCAACAAGACCGTCCAGGAGGTCGCCGTTCTCGGCGCTGGCTGGGACCGCACCCTCGGCGGGGACGCTCTCAACTCCCTCATCGTCGACGACATGATCTCCCAGTTTGTCGAGTCGAAGGGAGCTCAGAAGATCTCTGTGCAGACCGAGGCTGTCAAGTCTCACGGCCGTGCCATTAACAAGCTCACCAAGGAGGCTGAGCGTCTTCGCCACATTCTCAGCGCCAACTCAAACTCGCAGGCCAACTTTGAGGGTCTCTACGAGGACGTCGATTTCAAGTACAAGATCGAGAGGACTGACTTTGAGAAGCTGGCTGAGGCCTACGCTGTGCGAGTCGGTCACGTCATCCAAGACGCTCTGAAGGCCGCCCAGCTCGAGCTCACTGACCTTGACTCGGTCATTCTTCACGGAGGTGCCTCTCGCACCCCCTTTGTCCAGAAGCAGCTTGAAGAATCTGTCGGCTCCGCGGACAAGATTCGTTCCAACGTTAACTCTGACGAATCGGCCGTCTTTGGCGCTGGTTTCCGCGCCGCTGAGCTGAGCCCTAGTTTCAGGGTCAAGGAGATCCGCCTGAACGAAGGTGCCATGTACCCCTCTGGCATTAAGTGGACCAACCCCAAGCAGAAGGAGCAACACCAGCGTCTTTGGTCGGCTGTGTCGCCCATGGGCGCCGCGCCGAAGGAGGTCACCTTCACTAACCTCGAGGATTTTGATGTCACATTCTACCAGCAAATCGCCGGTGCGGAGCGTGATGTCAGCACCCTCAAGACGCAGAACCTGACTGAGACTGTCGCTGCCCTGAAGGAGAAGTACGGCTGCGAAGACAGCGGCATTCAGTTCAAGGTCGGCGTCAAGCTGAGCGGCGAGAACGGCGAGGTCAAGGTTGTCAAGGCGGCCATCGAGTGCGAGGCCGAGGTCTCTGAGAGCCTGATGGACGGCGTCAAGAACCTATTTGGGTTTGGCAAGAAGGATCAGAAGCCTCTGGCTGACGGCGAAGCTGAGGATGCCGACTCGGCGGCCGATACGTCCTCTACCGAGTCTTCCACCACATCGACTGAATCGTCCAAGAGCAAGACCACGTCAACGGAGACTGCCGCTGGCGCCGAAGCTAGCGCTGCCGAGGCCAAGGATGAGCCCAAGAAGAAGCAGATTGTGTCCATCCCCGTCAAGTTTGCTCTCGAGGATACTGGTTCGCCCTCGCTCTCGAAGGAGGACCTCAAGAAGTCCAAGGACAGACTCCAAGCGTTTGAGGCTTCTGATAAGGCTCGCCGTCAGAGGGAGGAAGCCCTGAACCGCCTCGAGGGTTTCACATACAAGGTCCGCGACTTGCTTGACAGCGAGTCCTTCGTGGCTGCCTCGACTGAAGAGGAGCGCACAACGCTGGAGACAAAGTCCAGCGAGGCCAGCGACTGGCTTTACGGCGAAGGTGCTGACGCGTCCAAGGACGAGTTCAAGGCCAAGTACAAGGAGCTCAACGATATTGTGTCGCGCGTGCAGAAGAGGGTGGAAGAGACCGAGACGCGACCCGAGCTTGTGAAGGCCCTCAAGGATGCGCTGGACCAGTCCACCGTCTTTGTTGACAAGATCAAGGATCAGATCAAGTCGTACGAAGAATTCCATGCGGCGGCTCAGGCTGCCAGCTCCGATACTAGCACTGCCACTGAGGAGCCTGCCTCTTCGTCCAGCACTGACAGCGACGGGGTTGAGGATGGTACCGCGACGGAGAAGCCCAGGGACATGGAGGACGTCATCAAGGAAGACGGGCCGATCCCCCCTCTGTACAAGATGGAGGATGTCGACGTCATTGATAAGCTCCACGAGGACATTTCATCGTGGATCACCGAGATGGAGGCCAAGCAGGCAGCCCTGCCCCCAACGGCGGACCCGGTGCTTCTCGCCAAGGACCTCAAGTCACGCCGTGAGAAGCTCGACAAGGCGGGTGTCGACCTGGCCATGAAGGGCGTCAAGAGCTTCGAGAAGAAGAACAAGAAGGCGAGCAGCAGCAACAAGAAGACAAAGAAGACCAAGACGGCCACGGCGGCCACTGGCGACGCCTCGGATGGGCCTGAGCCGATCCACATCAACCTGGGCGAGGACGGCAAGGCGCCTACCGAGGAGGAGATTCAGGAGATTCTGAAGAAGCTGCAGGAGTCGCAGGAGCCCGCACGAGAGCGTGACGAGCTGTAGACAGTTGGCCTCTTTTTGTTTCCATTCCACAATTGTTACCATGATAGACGAAGAAACACGTTAACGATGCCCTCTCTCACTTGCTCTCCTCCCCTAGTGCTACGTGTTGCTACTTGTTTGTGTCGTCCCAGCACATGTGAGGAATACCTGTGTTTGGTTCGGTCCTTGTAGCCGACTGTCCCCGTCTCTGTTTGTGTTCAATTCCCGCATGACGTTGGACCTGACCTGGCAAGGCAACGGGCGTATGTACCAGTGTATCTGTCACCGAGACGACGAAGCTGCGCCTTGCCCTCCCCCTTGATTGCTCTCGACTCACGATCCAGCAGCAGCACCGGGGGTTCTTCGGTGCCGCCTAACTGGGCTGATGACGTCCTTTTGAGGCCTCGTGGCCGCCTGCCAGTAATCTGTCTGAAAAGCTTGCTGCCCCATCACGGCGGGTGGACGCATCGGCGACGGGAACACGAGTCGGCAAGGGCAGCGCGCACGAGGTCCGAAACGGCCGCTTTCTCTCGGGAGGCAAGTCGCACCACGAGGCAAGCACAGCGAGCTGGCAGCGTACAGGCGAGGGGAGTGAAGGCAATCGCAGCAAACGGACCATCGCCGAATTGCAGCCTCCTGGGCTCGTCTCTCCAGTCTTTCTGTCGCTCTGGAGGGCCAGCATACAGGCAGAGGGGGCTGGTCAGGGGTATACATATATATATAACGGGACGAGCGGACGGGATCGGTTATGCAGTCTCGAACGAATCGAGCAAGCCGATCATCGTCCATCTCATCTCTTCTCTCTGACAGGGAAGCCAGGCTACTTACGTGTCACCGCCACTATGAGTTCCTTCAGAGTGGCCCTTGCGACGGCCTCCGTGGCCTCTTGCCTCATGCAGGCCGCGGCTGCGCTGCCGAAGCTGCAGGACCGGGAGATCGAGGCCCGGATCCCCGTGACCGACAGAACCGGCCTGCATAAGGAGGCCTGGGGTGCGACGGCCTTTGCTGCTACCTATGCGCGATGGAGCAAGGAGGTGCCGCAGTCGCTGCGGAAGTATGTGAAGTGGAGCGAGGACCGTAAGTCTGTCGAGTTTGCCAGAGAGTATGCAAAGTGGTTGTTGGTGTTGACGTGTGTAGCCGCTACACTCGAGGCCGAATCCATCTTGGACATTTTCTTCGTCTCCGAGCTCAAAGTGGGCAGCGCCCGGGAGCCCATCAACCTGATCCTCGACACGGGGTCTCCCAACACGCAAGTCCATCGCCCGAACACGCGTATCCATGCATCTTGCTAACACTCACATGGTCAGTTGGATCAAGGCTGGCGACACGTCGGGCAACTCGATAGCCTACCACCCTGAAAAATCCGAGACAGCCATCGAGATTGAGGACAGCGAGTTCCGCATCCACTATGGTGAGTCGCCCGCTGGCCCCTGATGTAGGTAGTCGCAGCAAGAGTCTTGGCCAACCTTGCTGATCAACAACCCCAACCCTCCAGCCGACGGCGACTTCGCCTGGGGCAGCGTCTGGCTCGACACACTCGAGCTCTCGCCGACGCTCATCGTCCCCAACACATCCATCGGCGCAGCAACGTACATGTCGGACCGGCTGCGCGCCGACAGCGTGACGACGGGCCTCATGGGCATCTCCAAGGCGCTCGAGGCGACGACGCGGCCGCCGACGCCCACCATCATCGAGACGCTCTCGCTACACCTGGCGCCGGGCCAGCGCTTCATCGGTGTCGACCTGCGCGCCAACTCGTCGACGGGGCAGTACACCTTTGGCGCGCTGCCGACGCGCCTCTACACGTCGGCCGACGTGCGCTGGGCGGGCGCCCGGTGCCCGACTCGGGCCACTGGGACTTTAGCGTGAGCCGGTTCCGGCTCGGCCCCATGGCGCCCGACGTCTGGGTTCAGCGGCCCTTTGTCGCGACGGCCGACACGGGCACGACGCTGCTCATGCTGCCGCGCAACGTCGTCGAGGTCTACTACTCGGCCCTGCCGGCGGCGCACAAGGCCGACGAGTACGGCGGCGCCTGGGTGTTCCCCTGCGCCGACGAGGTGCCCGATTTCGAGTTTTGGGTCGGCGACGGTGACGGCGAAGACGACGGCTACCGCGGGCGCGTGCCGGGGGCGTATGTGCGGTACGCGCCTGCGAGCCAGGACGACCCGGACACGTGCTTTGGGGGTATCCAGGACGTCGAGCTCATGCTGGAGGGGGTCGAGGACAAGCCGGATGCCATCTTTGGGGACGTGGCGCTCAAGAGCATGTTTGTCGCCTTTGACATTCAGGAGGGGAGGGTTGGCTTTGCCGACAAGGAGCTCGAGGTCTGCTCGTTTGATCGGAGCTGCCAGGGGAACCCACTTGACACGGGCGAGCTGAAGGGATGGGGGCAGTAGATTGGGGGACAGTGCTGTCTGGCGTCGTCTCTGTCTCGATGACGAGGGAGGGCTGTAGCCCGTTGGTACTAAATGAGACGCATAGTTTACCGCTTTCGCTTCCGCTTCCGTGAAACAAACTTCCTGTCGTAGACATCAGGCGATTTCATCCTTCGTCAAGCGACCTCGCCACTGGCATGTACACCAAAGCACTACACAAAAACGAATTAATGTATCAATTCAGGCCCGATGATCGGGCCCGTCGTGCGTTCTAAGCAAAGACGCGACGGCGTACCGTTTGTGCGCCAGCCTCCCAAATCCATCCCGTCGCTCTAATTCCATGACAACAATCAATGTGAACACCGCTGCTACTCTGGCTGAACCGATCGTCCCGACGACAGCTGGGCAGGTGGTTTCTAAGCACGAGACCCGGCGTCGCGCGTGCCGATCCGCCTTCTCTTGTACGTCGAGCCCGTGTTCTCGTCGCCCGCCAATTCGTCCACGTCATCATCAGCCGTCTGCGCCGCCGGCGTGCTCTCGCCTCTAGGCGTCGCGGCCACGCTCGTGGGCCGCGCGCTGCCGCTACCCGAAGGTGGCAGCCCGCTGCGATCCCTCTCGGCCGCCCTGAGATCGCCCAGGAGCCGCTCCACCTCAACGAACATGATGCGCGAGTCGCGGACGACCGCGTCTTCGTCGACACGGTAGGTTGAGGGCTCAGCGTCGCCTTCGCCTTCCACCGAGGCCTCGCGCTTCATGAACGAATTACCTGGGCCGCGGTACGGATCCAGGTTGTACATGATGGCGTTGGAGAACATGTGGACCAGCTCGCGCTCCAGCTGCTCGCTGTTGATGATGGACTTGGGCGGCAACAGATCGCTGCTGATTGGGAGCCATAACGTCGGCGTGCCGGGATCGCCGTCCGGGAGCTTCTTGGCCGCTTCCACTGCGGCCCTGTTGCCGTGGGTCATGGCAGCCCGGATCGATTTTATGTCCTGCGGTTGCAGAATGAGGCCCTTGTAGCCTGGCGCATCTCGCTCGCGAATCGCATGAGCAAACTGGTTGGCACAACGGTGGCTGCTGATCTGATCCAGGGCAGGGTTACTGATCTTGCCAAATTGACGGGTCCAGAGCACGTGTGTTGGCGTGCTCGCGGGTTGTGGCGTTAGTTCTACAGGCGATTCCTGACGTTTTCTGTTTGTTTGCTAGACGGGGAC